GCATAATTCAACTTATTTGCATCTTTAAAGAAATTCCTTCCTTGACTTAGTAATGCCTTATAGAAATTCCTCCTTTCTTTTCATATAATTATTCCCCTTCCCTTCCTCATAAAAATCTATTGCCTTCAACCCCCTAATAGAAACACTACTTGGGTTTCTGAATCAGTGCTGCCCAAATTGCTTTGGCTCTCAAGTAAACTCTTGTCTCTTACTTTTGGCTTTTCCTTTTAGGTTAACAACTGTCTCAAAATATCTATTGGTAAAGTTTGAGATAAAAAACTGAAAGGCAGTCTATATGCTATGTGTATTATGGCAAGGTTCTTTTATTTTATCAAATGGATCAAGCCTAAAATCCAAGTTTATTTGAACTTCCCAGACTATGCTAAATGAAGGCTAAATATTCAAAAATACATGTATTTCCCATGGCACAACATGCTATATAGTTGCTCCTAGACTAAGCTTCATCGGTTTCATAAGGTTTGAGACCATATCTCATCAAGTTCTCTGTTACATCCTAGAGCTAGAATGCTAGAGTTTGGGGAAAAGTTGTTGTTGAACTACTGACATTATTGAGACTATACATTATAATTTATGCTAGCTGGGATGATAGTCAATAGATGAATAGAACCAAATCAGTTTCAAATCAGAACTCTGAAGTTTATAAGAAATGTGATTTGGGATATATTATAAACTCTGAGTTTCTTCACATAATAATAGGAATAATACTGAAATTCAATTCACAGTTGTTGAACAGATATAATAAAATTAGAGAGGTGAAGTATTATTAACACACTACACTCAATAAAGTTTCATTTTTCACCCTTCACAATTTAAAATCTTACAAATTTGCCTTCTATTCTGATTTACCTGTCCTATGAAAAAGTTTAAGTAAGAAGTATATGGTATTTGCAGTTTCAAAAATATATCCACAGATTTTCTCACATGATCTTTACAACAACTATGTGAGGATACTATAAACTGAAGATGACTTTAGGGGGCTGGCTGACTTGTCCCAGATTATGTGGTTGGTAGTGCTGAAAATGGCATTTAAAATTGAATTCTCTTTGCTCAAATTGGAGGTCAGCATGGAGATTTATATATTCTTGATGAATGTCCTAAGGAGAACATTTCATAATTTTGTCTGTTCTTCTCTTCTCTGTAGACCTGATAATTGATCTAAAAGAGGCAATTAAAGAGTGCATATTCTAGATCAAAACTTTTTTTTCCAAATTATCAGTTTCCTTTACCAGAAATCTAATTTATAAAGGGGAAGAGGAGAAAGTAAGAAGTATTATTTAACACATGGTAAAAAAAAGGTCTCTTGATAAAGTGACATTTGAACAGAAACTGAACTAAGAACAGGCCATGTGCAGATGCAACATGTTGCTAATATAAGGATAATGATAATCACCCTGTTTATAACCATGCCTCTCATCTTCCATATCTTTACAGACTTTGGAAGGCAGTATAGGAGAAATCAGCCAGTGGAGGGTTAGGGTTAAAGTCTTAGGTGCCACTGGCTTTATTACCCTGAGAAAGTTAAATTATTTCTCTATCTCTAGATTGTCTAGTTGCCTATACTTCTAAAGATAAAAAAGAATACTTTGGCCATTGTGTCCTCCAGTTAGGCATTATGATGATAATATTATATTTTTATGGATAAGAGAGAAATGGGAAGTCTCAGAAGTTGCTATAAACAGAAATTATAATGAGACAATAATAGCATTCTTTATGTAGGCTAAAAATGAAGTCTGGCAAGATGGAAATTAGATGTTTTACAGCACATTATATGGTCAAAGACATTAACTTTTTACACAAATTAAATCAAGAAATAGATTCCAATTATAAGAGTACAAATGACTTCTCAAAGGAAGATACCTACCAGATAATACGACCATAACAAAATCCATATCACTTTGTTCTTTGCTCGTAATTGAAAATTATCTAACTTTCACAACCTCTGCTTTGTGGTTTTCTTATAAAAGTGCAAGATGTTTCTTTAAATCAAGTGCATAACAATATTTACAACAGAGATAATGATTTGCATATTTCAAATATCAGTACTTTAGATCAGGTTAATAGCTATATAAACCTTAAATTTCCACCTCATCAAACAATTGTATATAGCCCCTTAATCTTCTATAGCTTTCAGTTTACAGTCATTTTCACAGGTAGTGCTATAAAAGCATAGATGATCAGCTCCACAGCCAATGCTGGGGTTCGGGAGAAAGAGAATAGCCCGGAACAGTTCAGAGAATCTACTCCATTTACCTAGGCTTCTGTCATGAAAAATTTCATATAGTGAGAGATGTAACTTTATTTGAAATTACATATTCCCACTCAAAACCAAATCTGCATTTTTATGTACTTCTTTTACAGTCTTGGTCTCTCAAATTAGACCCGGGTAAACAAGTAGACAATGCAAATATTTAGCTGGCTTGTGGAAGGAGGTTCAGTATACCTGAAAATTCAGTTGTATATGTCATAAAACTAACATGGGTAAAAGTATCTTCCTTACACTGAATTTTATTTCATACTAAGATATTCTGGAATTGAAGTTCATACTTTCACATGTCCAATTAAGTATACAAAACTCCTGTCACCTAAGTTCTGAATATGTCAAAGTTGTTCCCTAAGTTTATGGTTTGAGTATTTGGTGGTACCATTTACCAAGAAAGGAAGAAGAAAATTTGGAGTTAAAGGTGACAAACTCGGTTTTAGATGAAAAGTTGAAAGTATTAGTTTTTGGGAGATAAATAAATCCGAACTAGAAATATAAATCTGCAAGTTACTGATGTAGAATAGGAAATAAAGCCATGAGAATAGATCACTTTACCTAAACAGCTTTTAAAATTTTGCAAGAATTAGCTATTATTCACTGATGGAAGAGAAAACACTGATAGACTTTTTTTTTAATTGAAGAAAAAAAGTATGACAACTTGCTCCAGACTAAAGAAGAATTTTCATCAGTTTTTCTGCAATTAAAATGGAAAAGAGGAGGGAAGAGTAGGGATGGAAAAATCCTACCAAAGAATGAGCCAATCTCATAATTCTAAATATTTGCAGGAAGGTCAATGCCTTTGCCACAGAATTAGTGTTTGGCAACTATCAAAATCTTCTATGAGAGGAATTTTTTAAGCTCAGCTTGTGAGTAAAGACTGAATAATAAAATACAAGTATAAATATGAACATTATGTTCTAGATCAGGGATGGGGAACCTTTTTTCTGCCAAGGGTCATTTGGATATTTGTAACAGCATTCTCAAGCCATAGAAAATTTATCACCTTAAAAATTATTTGGTCAAACATTTAATTAAATCATCCTTAATCCTTGGCAGGGCCAGACCAAATAATTCTGCCTGCCTTATGTGGACCGAGGTACTGGACGTTGCCCACTCCTGTTCTAGACTATCAAAGGAAAGGATAATAATTATCTTTTAAATTTTCTTAGCTCAATCTGGATTACACACTAGCATTCTTGGGAATATCACTTAGTTCATATTAAAAGTTACACCTATACATATAAAAATCAAATCAGCAAGTATTAACCTATCAGGTTTCATGCCTTCCCTAGCGTGGACGAAAGGGGCTATATGCTAATCTGAGCATAGGGAAGGCCTACATGGTGGTCTTGCAAACTCAAAGACCTAAAGTAACCACAAAGAATGGTCTAAAATTAAACTTTAACTAAAAGCAGTTATGGTGGGTAGTCACCTCCTAGGCCGGAATCTTCCCTGACAAGGTCAACCTTTACTTTAACTGAGCCTGTCTTTTTGTATCTATAACATATCCTTGAAATGTCAGGGTAACTTGTAACTTCCCTTTTTTCCAGACCCTTTGGGGCACAACCAAATGCACCAGGGCCCCTGGACTCAGACCATAAATTCCTTCATTGTTACAGTTATCCTGTTATCGACTGTTAACTATCCTGTATCCATCTAATTAAAAGAAGTAGATATCTATCATTTTATTTTTTTATCCAGTCCCAGAGGTTTCCCCCACTCCACCGCTTTGCTTTCTCCCACCTATCTAATCTATCACCAATGGATTTCATGTATCCCCCTTCTCTCCTCCTTTGATTTAATGTATAAAAATAGATGAAAAACTGCCATTCTCTGGAGTATGATCGCAATCTGGGACCTAGGAGCTCACCTTGATATGCGTCATATTCTCCCCATCCAGGAGCTGCGTTATACCAAGGGAAGATGAACAACCTTGTGGCTGAAAGGAAACAATAGAGTCCTGGATGCTCCCTGCCCTAGGCATACCCCCAGCCCACACTGCCAGTAATTTGTAACCATTCTTATTCTTTTGCCTACTTCCCCATGCAGTCTTAGTCCTTCTGTCCAATATAGGTAGCTGGTTTATGTAGGGGGTGCTGAGCAGATTTTCGTGGATGACCTACTGCTCTCCCATACTGCCAACATATTGGAATAATGCTCATTCTAGTATATGATTCAACCCTGTCTCTGCTTAATTGGCTCAAGGAGTGACAGGCAGCCCGGACCCATTGGTTGTCCAATTTCTCTGTACTTGAAAGGGAAGTTATCATTTACTACCTTTAAGAGGAGCAAAATAATAGTTTTTAAAAGTTCCAACGTCTTATATTGTAAACATAATAACCATAATTAAAATTCTAAGTTATTCGTGATTTATAGAAATTTTTCCTTGACATCTTAGAATCTTTTATAAATTAAACCTTATAAAGTGAAGAAAAATCTTAGGTCTTTCAAGGAAAGCTGAGGGGGAGGGAGAGCTAGACCATTTGTAACCTAGCAAACATTGAAAAAGAGGCAATCATCTGAAACAAAATCAAGGAAATTGCTTCAACTGTATTTGCACGAGTGACCACAAAACCCTTTGTATCCAAACTTCTATTAAAAAGTTTAAACTTTATTTACTGTGGAAAATTTTAACAGAAAAGCATTATTTATAAAAAGAAAACAAATGTGCATATATATATATATATATATATATATATATATATATATATATACCTACCTTAGCAATAGGATTCAACAAAACAACACCTGATTTCTTCGTGATGACCTGTTTGGTTGTAAAGTGATGCTCTATAAGTTGAGGAATGTTCGAAAAACCAGTGCCTTCAAATCGATACAAACTCTGGCAAAAAAACAATAAAATAGAATAAATGTAAAGTCATTGTTTCAGCATGACTACATTCACTAATAAATTAAGTGACATTTAAGAAAATATATTGTTGTTCAATGTTAATACACTTAACATTACTGAGATACACATTTAACAATGGTTAAGAGTAAACTATGTGAGGTAATGGATGTTAATTACCTTGATCATGGTATTCATTTTACAATGTACCCTCTACACACAAATTATATTTGTCAATTATTCCTCTATAAAGTAAATATACATATGGATATTATTTCTCCCTTTGTCTTCCTGTAGTCTATTCTTAACACAGAAGCCAGGGGATCCTGTTGTATCATTCCATTACTTTAATCAAAATTCTTATCGCCCACAACAGTGGACAGCAAACCGCGACAAGCGAGCCACATGTGGCTCTTTGGCCCCTTGAGTGTTCTAATGCCATTTCTTCAAAACAGACTCGCCCGGGCCAAAAACAACTTCTGCGCATGGGCCACAAAGTTTCAATCGCACTGCACGTGCACGCCCACATGTGGTGTTTTGTGGAAGAACCACACTCAAGGGGCCAAAGAAACGCATGTGGCTCATGAGCCGAGGTTTGCTGATGACTGTCTTAGAATAAAACCCAAAGTCTTTACCACAGTCTATACAATCTATATATTCTGTGCTCTATCATCTCTCTTACCTCATCTTTTAACACTACCCCATCCCACCAAGGCCACACTCATTTCCTTCTTATTTAATAAATGCACTTACAGACATTTCTTTCTCAGGACATTTACATTTGCTGCTTGAACCAGTTCCTCAAATGGACATATGGGTAATGGCTCCCGGACTTAATGGCAGTCTCTCATCAAATGTCACCTTTTCAGTGAGGCCTATTCTGGGCTCCCTCCACAATAATCAAAATCCATTTTCTCATCCCAACTACATTTCTATCCTTTTCTCACTGAATTTTCCTGCTTAGAATTTATCACTACCTAACATCACATATATTTTGCTTACCTATTCTGTTTAATTGTCTATCTCCTCCTCTAAAAATAAGCTCATGGCGTTATAAGTTTTTGCATTTATTTTGTTCATCGCAGTATCCCCCTGGTCTAGAAGAGTGCCTGGCATATACTGCTTAGGTAAATAAACATGTGTGACTGAATGAATGCAATGCATAGAAAATGGTTGTCCAGTTAAAAGAACAAGTAAGACAACTTAGAAATGAATACTAGGAAGTTCAATAACAAGTACAATGTTTAACAGAAAACAATGACATGAAGTTCACACAGAATGAAATTTCAAATCAGACACTAGCATCATAATGCCTTATATAAACTTTTAATATACCTCTTATAAGTAGAGAAACAGTGAATAGAATAATGGGACTTGTCAGTTTTCTTAATTTAGGAGTGTATCTAGTTTTCAATTTAGGGGCAGTATTCTGCCATTGACATAGTAATTGGGATGGGCCAATACAGTGAGTAATGCAAGCAACAGTACTTCCTTCATGGGCTGAAATAAGAAAGTGATCCGTAGCAATTATTTTTTAAAGCAATCACAGAATCAGTGAAGTTCTGAGTCTGAAGACAGTGCAAACCAATTAATTCACTTCCTTAAAGATAAAAATAATGAATTTAAAAATGTTAAGACTGTGTACTTATTAAGCAATTAAGTGGCCAAGAATAGTACAGACACTTAAACTCTTTAAGGACTTTTTCTTGATACACTCAAAATTCTGAATATTGCAATTGACCTTGTGCAGAGGTGTATAAATTTCTTATAGCTCAAATGACCTGAGGTTCAATTCACATACAGATGGTTTTTTCTGCATGTTTTAACAATACCATGACTCAGAGAATTCAGACTAACTTTTAAATAAGACTTCTCTTTGGAGCTAAAATTATTACTAATTAAATCTTATGTGAATTCCAAAAGAAGCAATAAAAAATAATAATTTTATACAAAGATCATTTTATTGTCAGTGTATGTTTTAAATATCACATAAAATGTCAATTAAAAAATAAGTATGGCCCTGGCCAGTGTCCTCAGTGGTTAGAATGTCAGACCCACACACCATAGAGTTGTGGGTTCAATTACTGCTCCAGGGCACATACCTGGATTTCAAATTCTACCCCAAGCCCAGTTGAGGTGAGTGGGGAAGGCAACTGATCGATGTGTCTCTCACATGGATGTTTTCTGTCTTTCTATCTATCTCTCTCCCTCCCCCTTACGCTCTCCCTGAAAAGAAATCAATGCAAAAAATATTCTTGGGTGAGGATTAACCAATAAATATATAGTGTATGACTCAATTTTTATAAAATAAAATTATATAGATATATATAATTATAATATATTTTTTAAATCTCAAAGAATATATACTGAACCCATATGGGGATGTTACTATGAAGCACACATTCCATGATACATATTTCTGGGTTTCTATCAAGAGTAATATTACTTCTGTTTTTAATACATTTATTACAGCTAGAATTGTTCCTGAGTTATCACTGTGCAACTGAAGAATCAATCACACATATAGATGAAAAATACATAAAAATCAGTTTTCATTGCTATATGTATTTCATAATAACAAGAGAAATGTTATTAAACAAGGAAGTCAAACAGAACAGAATAAGCACTCAAAAATGAGAAGGGAATTCAATGTATGTATAAGTTGCCTGAGTAGATCCCCTGAAACAAAATCAAGGATAAGCAGGCTTAAGGAGAAAAAAAAAATGAAAGGAAAAATAATTTCTGAAAAAGGTTGAGATGAATAAGCTGATTAAGCTGATTAAAAACAAGATTACAACACTTTTTTTTTTTTTGTAAAATACCTAAAAATGTAAGGCATACACTTTGTAACTTTCTCAAATAAAAATAGCACACTGAACCAGTATACATGAAAGCATTTGGGGAATAATATTAATAAGGTTTGGTATGGCTTGTCTCAACTTTTGTTAATTTTTCAGGTGGTGTCTCAAACTTAGCTTCCTTTACTTCCCCAGTTAAAAGTTTTCATAGCACTATAAGCCTCCTCTCCAGACTGTAGGTAGGCTCCACCATTATATCCCTGGGCCTTAAGAATACTCACTCAATTAGTGCTTCCTGTAAATTAACATTAATAAAGTTTTGGGCACCAACTTATGAACCAGAAGGTCACATTTCGATTCCTGGTCAGGGCACATGCCCAGGTTGTGAGCTTGATCCCCAATAGGGGCTGTGCAAGAGGCAGCTGATCAATGATTCTCTCTCATTATTAATGTTTATATCTCTCCCTCTCCCTTCATCTCTGAAATAAATCTATATATATAAAAGCCAAAGCAATGGACACACAGACCAGTTGCTATGATGCGCTCTTACCACCAGGGGGCAGACACTCAATGCAGAAGCTGCCCTTTGGTGGTGAGTGCACTCCCACAGCCAACCTCCTGCAGATGGCCAACCTCCCACAGCCCCTCCCCGCGGTTGGCCCACTCCAATCGGCCCTGGGACCTGATCCGGGCAGGAGACAGCCCTGATTGACTCCAATTGCTGGCCAGGCCAAGGTACCCCACCCACGCACGATTTCATTCACCAGGCTTCTAGTATATATAAAGGAATATACTGAGTGTGTGTGTGTGTGTGTGTGTGTGTGTGTGTGTGGTTTCCTAAGTCATGTATCAAAGAAAATCAGTGTCATTTTTACTTAAACGTTCTGCTTGCCTTCTTTTGAGTCCCTGAATGATTACAGTAGAATGGTTAAATAATCCCAAGTATAACAATGTGATAAGGCCACACACTTGGAATTAACTGTTATCCAAACAAATTTTGGATTCCTATTTGCTTTCACTTAGTTTTCCATAAGTCCCTTGGTATGAATTTTAAGATAGTTCAAAAAGTCTACAGATTGTGGCAACAAAGCAAAGTAAATCTAACAAGTACATTTGGAGACTAAATCTGTCAGCTCAAAATGGACTGTAGCTTATGACAGAAATCTAATATCTGTTGAATGAATGCTGATTCAATACACTGAGCTATCCCAAATTTCACATAGTAATTAGAACCTCCACTTTTGTGTTAATTTTTTTTATTGGCTTATATTCCTACGCTTTACATAATACTTGCTCAAATAGTATTTCCTGCATGGATGAATGAATAAATGAATCCTATCCTATATAACAAAAGCCTAATATGCTAAGGTTCCAGTTGTCTAGTCAACCAATCAAAGCATAATATGCTAATGATATGCTAGGGCTACTCAACTGCTCGCTATGACATGCACTGACCACCAGAGGGAAGACACTCCAGCTGATTGGGACTGAGCGAGACAGGTTGGACATGCCCTGGAGCCCTCCTGTGGTCCCTCCTGCTGGCCAACCTCCTGCATCCTTCCCCAGCCCCAATCGTACACCAGTGGGATCCCTTTGCCTGGCCTGAGCCCTCTCACAATTGGGACCTCTCAGGGGATGTCAAAGAGCTGGTTTCGGCCCAATCCTGCAGGCCAAGTGGAGGCACTCCACTGGTGTATGATTTCGCACATTGGGCCTCTAGTGAATAAAAGATGTTATACCATTACATAGAGAATTGTTGCTCTTTTATTATAAAATATTTATTATGTTGTTATTTTTAATTTATCGCCATATATTAATTCAGAACTTTTGGCTCCATCACTTCTCATTTGTATATTTAATATTTCTCAGTTAATAAGTTCTACTAATGTCTCACCTATTCAGTTTTAAGCTGAGAAGTAGGTTACATAATTTTTATTTCATCTCCTTACAATGCATATATAAATTTCATGATTTACTTTTTCCAGAAATGAGTGTTTAGTAAATAAGTGTCAGATAAAAAAATCAGCACTTTCCTAAAATAGCATAAAAATTATTTTGTTTTATCATGTGTATTTCCTGTTTTATAATATACAAAAGCAAATATTTAATTAATATATATTTACTTATCAAACAGAACAAAGGTATTTGAATCTCTATGAAAATCTATCAACATTTATGACCACAAATAAACAATTTTAGGTAAAAACTCTAAATATCATCTTACATCAAACACCACAAATAGGCTAGTAACTATGGAATAGATCAATAACACTAGAATTACACTTAAATTCAGGTACTCTCTTAGATATGTTTATATATCTGGCTTTGTGAAATTAATGTTTGGGCTTTGTAAAATTAATATGTTTGGTTACACTACAAGGTACAGTTCTTCCTGCTTGAACTAGCTAAAACAATAGATTATCTGTGCTAACATAGTAAAAATGTAAAAATAGAAGGTATACATGTCCATATTGTTCAATCATAATGGCAGTTTCACACCAAATTGAGAAGTAACTGATATGCAGTCAAAAACAAAGCTTTAAAATAATTGCTAGCCTAGACTTTGGTTGACAGAGGCAATATTACTAAAAATAACATTATTCATGATCAATGAAGACTTCAAATCTAAATATAGGCATGCCTCAGAAATACTGCAGGTTTGGTTCCAAATCACCACAAAGTGAGTACATATATAAATTCTAAAACACTTTCTTACTATTTAAATTTCACAAATAAATCTCATAGAAACAAAACAATCCTATATAATAAAGTGGTAATATGCAAATTGACCATCGCTCTAACACAGAAGATGTGGTCAAAGATGGCATGCCCCATGTGGACACAAGATGGTCACCACAAAATGGCCAGAAGGGGAGGGCAGAGGGCAGTTGAGAGGGACCAAGCCTGCAAGGGGGCAACCAGGCTGGCAGGGGAGGACAATTAGGGGTGACCAGACCTGTAGGGTAGGACAGTTGGGGGCGACCAGGCCTGCAGGGGAGGGCAGTTAGGGGTAATCAGGCCAGCAGGGGAGAACAGTTAGGGGCAACCAGGATGGCAAGGGAGGGAAGCTAGGAGTGACCAAACCAGCAGGGGAGGACAGTTAGGGGTGACCAGTCCTCCAGGGGAAGGCAATTGGGGGCAACCAGGCTGGCAGGGGAGGGCAGTTAGGGGAGAGCAGGCTGGCAATGGTGGGCAGTTGGGGGCGACCAGACTTGCAGGGGAAGACAGTTAGGGGCAACCAGGCCAACAGGGTATACTAACTTATACCAAGTTAGTATAACCAGACCAGCAGGGGAGGGCAGTTAGGGGCAATCGGGCAGTTAAAGGAGCAGTTAGGCATTGATCAGGATGGCAGGGGAGTGGTTAGGGGGTGATCAGGCTGGCAGGCAGAGCGGTTAGGGGCAATCAAGCAGGCAGGCAAGCAATTGGGAGCAAGCAGTCCTGGATTGTGAGAGGGATGTCCCAGATTGAAGAGGGTGCAGGCTGGGCAGTGGGACAGTGCCCTCCATCCCCACCCCGTGCACAAATTTTTTGCACTGGGCCTCTAGTTAATTAATATTTCTAATTTCATTAATATTTGTATTTTTTCTCAACTAGAGTCATCAAACATTAGAAAAATTACCTAATATTTGCATAGCACTCCACACCTTGCAAAGTATATATTCACTAATTTGATTCTCATAATCACTGTCTAAGCTATTAACCCCATTATTTAGCAAAGACAGAGATGTAAAGTGAAAAACTGGAACTGGAATCCAAGTCGTCTAAGTCTGCTTTTTTCACTGATCCACTATTTGATATTTTTACATTCTAAAATACCATAATTTTTATGTCTTCCTCTCTTAGGACATCTATCACCTCATTTATGTACAGCTTTTATAATTTATTACTAGATTACAAATTCCTTGATTAGAATATGACAGTCAATCATTAACTATCTGGTAATGTATCCCCTGCGCCCATTATCCACCCCTTCTTGGCTACTGGTATATGAGAAAGGAAACAGGATCATTTAAACTCATAGATTTACTTATCCATATGAAAAAGAATTAAAAACTCCACAGTCTAGATCACCTTCAAACTCCTATTTTCAACTGAGCTCAATATTATTTAATGAGTAGGAACTAAATAAAATTACATTGGAAAACCCCTGAGGCACTTTCATCTTTAACCGATCTTTGAAAATGTCAATGACAGAAGAAAACCAAATAAAATTTACAAATGTGAAGTTGTAGCAATGTCTTAGTTTTAGAAAATAGTATTATGCAATTCAGTTTACTTATTAGTAGTCACTTAAAAAAATAGCACTGAAGACAAGTTATAATTTGTAAATAGACCTTTTTTGTTTCTAAGAATATTAATTTAAATTCCTAAAGTTTCATTTAAACTAGAAGTGGTCATAAGAAAAGTATTTCAGTCTTATTTAATGTATAACCTATATACAAATAGTAAGTTTCAGAGCTTAGAATATAGAAGGAAACATTTCTATAAATTACAGTTAGTTATTACTTTACCTACGATTTTTCCTCTACAATTCCTGTACCACTTAATAAATATTGCCAGCATGGTCACAGGTTGTAATAGGAACGCTTATCTACATTCATTGCAAAAGCACATACAAATTATAAGAGTTTGACAAGAAACTACTACTAGAAGCAGAAAGCCAGATGTATGAAAGCAAGCAGATAGGATTACCAAGTTGAAGCGTGAATACGAGGCAAAATTAACGAATAAGGTGAAAATTATAATACAAACAAAAATGTATACACACACTTTGAATTATTATAAAGGCATTGTTTATTAAAATACAATTCATTTTCAAATTGAGCTATAGGCTGTTAAAGCGTGTATACGATTTTTAGGGGACACCCTGTATAAATATCTGAACGCATCTATTTTAAGAACCTCTTTGAGTTCATCCAATGATAAAGGTTCAATCTATTTTCAAGTAATTAGTATTACTTTAGTGACGGGGCAAACACTGAAGTTCCATAGACTGGCAGCTTGAAAACATGTGCCATTTGAAATAATGGAGTGAAAAATGACAATTCTTCATACGCCAAAAATATTAACATTTTTCAGTGGATAAAGTTAAACAAAATTTTGAGATTTACCCTTCATCCGCTTACAGCTTAATAATATATAGAACATAGTTCAGCAATGCTTAAATACATTTTCATAAAAGTATTAGAGCAAGTAATGTTAATAGGTCATCCTTTTAATTTTCATCAAATTTTATTTGTGGTTTATTAATGCCGACAAGAAATAGTTTATACCTAAAGGGGAAAAACTTTAATCCTAAATGAATCAGAAAATCTGTTCAACTATCATTATCCCACTAATTAAGAGATTTTTATCATTATTTAATACAATACTTCTTTAAAAATCTCTCATGCCGAAACCGGTTTCACTCGGTGGATAGAGCATCAGCCTGAGGACTGAAGGGTTCTGGGTTTGATTCTGGTCAAGGGCATGTACCTTGGTTGTGGGCAAGAGGCAGCTGATCTATGATTCTCTCTCACCGATGTTTTTAACTCTCTATCTCTCTCCCTTCCTCTATGTAAAAAATCAATAAAATATATTTTAAAAATAAAAATAAATAATAAATAAAATAAAAATAAAAATCTCTCGTAATACCACTTTTGAAAGCAATTTCAAAGGCTTGTTTTAAGAGCATAAAATTCACAATTTAGAATCTCCAGAAGGAAAAAATATTGATAATCACATTATTTCTACTTTCAACTTAAAATGTTTTTAATGTTCAAATTTAACTCAAATATTTTAAATATTTTGCATTTAAACTTAATTCAAATTTTAACAACTATTTTTAATTTACAATATTTTAAAGTACATATTTCCTTAATAAGATTAACATTTTAGTGAGTTTTGGAGCACTATATTTAAGGATTTCAGCAAAATCAAATTAAATGCTAAACTCTGTTAACAGGCATTTATCAAAAACTATTCATCATTTTATTACCACCATGTTCTACATCAGAATATACATATAAACTAAATTAGAAACGTACATCAATATATTGTATGATAAAGTGTCTCCTTTGTCCATCAGAAAATACAGAAAGGACATATTCACCAGGTTTCCCATGGCTCTCTCGTACCAAGAAGTCTCCTTGTTGTTTTAATAGATCTTGCGCTTCTATTCTGGGAATTGCACCATGGTACCACTCCTGTTCCATCAGGGGCTTCTCAACTATGGACATCCTTTCAGAGAACTTGAGCAAATATTGGGGGGAAAAGAACACTAAATTAGAAAAAAATAGCCATTTTTTTCTAGCAAAATGTAAATCAACTGCAAGTACTTCTTACATATGTTCCTTCCTTTAATTGACCAATGAAAAGTTATACAATGAATCTAAACTTTTCATAATTTTTAAAGAAATATCTCATGGAATACTGCTGTTGAAGTTTAGCACAAATAAATAGCCTTAAGTTTATTTGTTTTTTCTACATGTCATACATAGCTATGCATAATATCAGCATCTGGAGTTAATAATATAGTCTCCAATGTATCATAAAACAAATCCATATAATTTAAAATTTATCAACAAAAGAATTATGAAAAAGGGGGTATTATCAGAGAAATTTATCACAAAACATTTTTATTTAAATTATTTTTTTATGGAATTAGCTCTCAATTATACGGGCTGTGGAATGTCCATGTCATATGTGACGGGAGTGCTACCTACAGCTTCATATGATGCAGACCTGCTGCTGTGCCTTCCCATTCTTATCCACATTCCCCTCACTTCCGTAACCATTACCTATGCCACATGGATGGATGGTCCTGATCCTGTGCAGCGATGGTACATAAAACTTTAGGAGAAGTATCACTGCCAATGACCAACATGCAATTACAAACGTGGCAAAAACAAGAGAAGAATAGAAGCCATAAGCATGGCAGAAAAAGAAAATTATCCATTATTTAAGAGGCCTAATGCTAAAACCAAATAGCAGAGATAACTAAGCTGATTATATTTCCTTAAAATGTTCCTAATGAATGACAGATAGAATCACATTTTATGATTACAATTAAGTTTTTTGTTTTTAATTGTCCATAGAAACTAAATGGCCCTAGGTGAAAAGAATACTTTACAGGTAAGGAAAAATAATGTGCACCAACTCTTAGAATTCTTAAAATACAATATGCATAATGTCTTAATTTATAAATTGGGAAAAACTGAATTAATAATAAATGAAAGGCAAATTTTCACACATAAGGTTTCTCAGGCTAATATTATAAACTGCATCTAGAGACAAAGTATGGTATCTTTGTGGTAATGAAAACTATCTTTAAAGACAGTCTTCGGTTTTGTACCACTGAAGAGGCTCAAACCTTAGTGCTCAAAGTTTCATTTTATAGCATCCAAAACTCATCCTATTGATTAAAAAAGAAAACCTTGAAAAATCTCAAATAGACATCCAAGAATAATACACATTTGAGTTGTGATTTCAACCACTTACGATAGTTTATTCTTTAAATATATACATGGTGTAACTATACCTGGAAAATTTTTGTAAACTAAATAAGCTTTTTCCTTTTCATACTAATCATGATATAGTATTTTCCAAAACATTAAAATTATTTAAACCCAAAAGTGGGTTTAAAGCCCAAATTATATAAAGAATAAGCTACAACTATAAGAGATACATATATACTAGTACATTTTCATATGTAGATACATTGCTTTTAAAAACAAATGGATAATCTACACAAAATTAACATTTTGTGTATATTATATTAACAGTTTATACGTCTTAAAGTAGGTATTTCTTTTCCAAGATTTTATCTCAGTGCATCTCATAGCAAATACTTGTTGAAATATTTCCAAGTCTCGCCTATGGTAAAAAGTGTTTCAAATGTGTACTCTTCTTAGAAGTCTACTTGAGATTTTTTTTTACCTCTGAAAAAAAATCAATAAAATAAATTCAGTGTCAGTTCTTTATAAAGAACTTGTTTTCATCATTATCTCTCAAAAAGTCCAAATAACAAACAAGGATGTCATGTGCTAAATTTCTTGTCCTACTCAACATTTCTTTCCAAATTTGATTTATTTAGAATTGGGAGAAAGCAATCCCCAGATTATTTAAGTTAAGATGGGCATTTAAAGTACAAAAGCTCAGCTAATCTTCTGAGAAACTCATTGAAGGTTGTGAGGTAAGAAATATATTTGGTGAGAAAAATAATCTTCAAAGAGCATTGAAGTCTGTTTTTAAAAACAAATGAATAGGAAGAAACTTGTATTGCTATTTCATTGCTGTTCTCTGGGTTTATTAGCTTCTTCTGGGGAGGAAGGGAAGCTCAGAGACCTGTTACTTCCCAGCCCCTAAACAATACCATTAAGAAATGTAGGTGGATGCAGGGAAAGGTCAGACATGTCCCCTGTCTGGATCTATCAGATATTTCAAGGACTTCTCTGGAAGCATTAAAAGGAAAATGTTTATTTATTAATATGACTTTAATAAAATTCCAATGTAATTTTGCAGGCTCCATAGAATGTATGATGTAGGATGTATCAGCAACAACATCCAACATCCTAAGAGCTATCATAATTACTCATTACCTCAAATGTCACATCTTTCTAAGCCTCAGTGGAAAAATAATTTTTCCCTCTTGATAGGTTACCTAATTTTTTTGCCAGAAATATAGTGGAGGGGAAGCCTTTTTAAAAAATACTTTTAAAAATATATATATATTTTATTGATTTTTTTTTTTTTTTTACAGAGAGGAAAGAGAGAGACAGAGAGTTAGAAACATCAATGAGCGAGAGACATCGATCAGCTGCCTCTTGCACACCCCCTACCGCGGATGTGTCCGCAACCAAGGTACATGCCTTTGACCAGAATCGAACCTGGGACCTTTCAGTCCGCAGGCCGACGCTCTATCCACTGAGCCAAACCAGTCTTGGCTAAAAATACTTTTTTAGTAATTTTTTTTAGAGAGAGAGGAAGGGAAATAGAAAGAAACATCAATGAGGAAAAAAAAAACTTCATCAATCGGCTGTCTCCTCTTCGTCCCAGACATATATCCTGAGCGAATCGAACATGACCTCCTGGCTCAACCACTGAGTCACATCAGCCATGCTCAGTATTGGTTTAACATGATCTGGGTCACTTGTTTTAATCATTTGAGCAAAAATATAAAATAATTGATTTGCTCCCTGTGTATTTAATTTATAAAAAATAAACCCTGATAAGCCTGTCTTCAAAATTACATGTGATGATGCTAATGATTCAAAAGTTGCAAGTTTGAGCAGATTATTCCATCTTCCTAAACATGCCTGACTGTACAGGAGAATTCAGCATGGGTATAGCAATAATATGATACAAAAAAAAAAATTGTATTTTCTCTGTTGTTTTTCTAAATCTTAGTGTCTGGGCAGGAAAAAAAAAAGTTGGTTGTAATTTAGACTTTAAGAATAAAACAATTAAGGTTTAAAATATAAAATATTCAACCTGAATTAAGTAACATGCCTTATTAGAGGAGATAAAAAGTTGCTTTGCTGGACTTGAAGTAGAACTCTAAAAAATACAAGCAGTTTATCATGTTATGCAAAAAAAATTACAGTGCCCTATGACAACAGTAAAAGCCAAGCATTATGATGCTAACATTATAACAAATGTACAACTTAAATATAGCTGAATTATAATTATCTAATTTTCTAAAAAAGAAGCAACCAAGCAAATCATACTGAATATATTATTCTATATAATGGAACATATTTTTATTTTCCAATACTTTTACTTCCTAAACTCTTAAAAAGTAATTCAAAAATAAAAACCTTAAGCAAATATATGAATTTCAAGAAGACAAAAGTTAAATATTCTTCTGATGTCTAAAACAACAATTATTTGGACCAAAATGTGCTATATTCTAAAATATTTAGAATATTTTTAAATGTTTTAAAGAACATTTTTCAAAGAGTGCTGCTATTAGAAGGGTGTTAATATATAACTAGCACACACCAGGGGGTGTAAGGTGAAACCCAAAGTTGTTTGCTCAACCACATATTATAGAACTTATCGAATAAAAAGATGGCTCTGGAGAAGCACCATATTCTTGACAGGACTAGAACAGATCTCATTACAAACAACGTGATTTAAAAGACTTCCAACAGAACCTTGACCAGTGTGGCTCAGTTGATTGGAGTATTGTCCCATGCACTGTGGGGTCACAAGTTCATTTCCACGTCAGGGCACATACCCAGGGGGAGCACCACTCAGCCAAGAGCCAGGCTCAGCCAAAGCCTCTCCTGCCTCCATAGCAGCACTAAGCCATCAGTGGAACATCCCCCAAGGGTTCCCAGGCTGCAAGAGGGCCCAGAATTATGTGCATCGGGCCTCTAGTTCAGTCATAATAAGGATTAACCTTGAAACTATTACACCAACTGAACAAAAATAGACAAAAAAGGTAATATATTATATAACTCTATTTATGTGAAATATCCAGAATAGGCAAATCCATGGAGATCAAAAATGGATTAGTGAATACCAGAAAATGGGAAAGCGAAAGGGGAACTGATACTAATAGGTATGAAGTATCTTACTGGGGACATAGAAGTATTCTGCAACTACAGACAGACCTCAGTTTACATCAGACTTGACATATGTCATTTCATGGTTACATTGCCATCTCCATTTATTAAAAAAAAAAAGTTCCAGAGAAACCAAGATGGCAGCATAGGTAAACACTTAAACTGCTGCCTCAAACAATTTCAAAACTACACCTAAAAGACAAAACACACACCATCCTGAACCACAGGAAAGTTGGCTTCGTGGAAATAGTAGAAGGAAAGAGGAAAGTACATCGAAACTCAGGGGTGTGCAGGAGGCAGCTGATTGATGTTTCTCTCTCATCCATGTTTCTAACTCTCTCTCCCTCTCCCTTCCTCTATGTAAAAAATCAGTAACATATCAGTAACATAAGAAAAACTATCTCTAGAACTTGTAATAAATTCTTAATCAAATCTCCTATACTTATTTTGATGTCAAATCATAATAAATCAAGTAATAGGAACTACTACTGGTCTGTAAAACTGTCGAACAATTACTTAAGAAAATATGGGTAGGAAATAGGACTTGAGAGTGACTTACTCTATCATATTGCTTTGACTTACAATTATTTTATTTTCATTTGCTATGTGATGCCATATGAGATGGTCTCAATAGTTCACAGCTCCCTCCCTATTCCCACAGAACTTCTGTGTACAGGAAATGACAATGGCAACATCAAAGGGTGAAATATAAGTAGAAATTTTCTTTCATATAAAATATAATTTTATTCTTTTTGTTAAAATACCTAACTGACTTACTTTTCAAATAAAAAATTATTGTTTGGGGTAAATACTTACGGCAACATGTTTCATATACTCAAAAGGAATTATAGCAAACAAATCCAAAATATGAATGGAAATTTAAGTAATCTATGTTTAGGAAATAATTTTTTTTTTCTAAATAAAACTAGGTCACACTGTCTTAAAAAAGAAATTTTAACAGGTAAAATATTAAGATATTATTAAATAGAAACTTACAGAGATGGGGAAAGCATATAATTACTTACATTGAATATTGTTGTGTTGGCCAGTTACAATTGTAAGGCTCTTATTGTTAATAAAACATGGCTAGAAAAATTAAGTTTTACAGGTAATGAAGTGAAAAATATACTTTGGAGTTTTACTATATAAAGGGGATAAAAATATTTTTTTATCTTGTTTGGCTATATAGCCACTATTACTAAAGATAACTAATGTTCTATGGACCATTGCAATATGCCACACCCAAATTTTAAACAGATTCAATTTTATAATTAATGTTCTAAAAATTATGAACACACATATAAAATGATACATATAAAAGTTTATATATAACAATCTGTATTATAAAAATGTTTCACTGGAAAAGAAATCTGTTTATACTTTTCTTCTAACCAACTACAAAAGTTCATAAAATGTTGCCTGTAATATTTATTTGTAGTACAGGAAATCTATTATACAAGTTTATTTCTTTCCTCCCTGCATCAATGTTACATAGGGTTTTATTATAATATATACATGCATGCATAGACTCAATACATACAAAAAGTTTAATTATGTACTCACTTTTCCATTTGTAAGGAAAGATAGCATGTGATATTCATTGCTATATCAGAAAGAACTAGACAATGACTATTTTCAGTAGCACAAAGAATTCATCCTACTTACTGTTGAAGAGCCCAATATAGGTTTTGGAGACCTAATTATTCCAGCAATTGAATGACGAAAAGACTCAAGTTTGGAAACCCTCTCCTTCCTTTCCTGAAGAGATTAAAAAAGAAGCTTTCAGCAATAGTAAACATCCCATATACATACACAGAGATGCTAAATATTAACGTATTTATTCATAGTTCATGTCCCTCTACCATGTCTTCCAATAAAATAAAATGTAAATTTCTTAACATTAAAGATTACAAATAACAAAACGCATATAGACACTATAGCATTTTACTTTCCTGTTCCCTCAATAAATGTTGATTAGGGTAAAATAAAAAGGAAATAGAATTTTTGTTCATTCATAAGATGAACAAAAATAAGAAATACAAAGGAAATTGATGGCGAACCAAATATAATATTAACTGAGAGAGATACAGCTACAAAGTCTCACACAGAAGATTCAGATACCACTGTAGTCGTGAGGGATTTTCAAGGAAACAAAATAGGAGGGGAAAAACAGGAGGAGAATTACATAGAACATATTTTTAGACAGTGAATCCCACTTAAGTAGCTGGAAAGTTTCCCAAAGATTTACATGATGATGATGACAACAACAACTACAACAATGATGACAACAGAGGAGAAAATAAAATGAGGAGGTAGTGACAGAATGACCAAGAAGGCAAGTCCATTCAGATTGCTATTTGCCATGGAATGTACACTTCTGAGTATCATACACAACAGTTGAAGGAAACTTTTCTGTAAGATTTCAAATCTGTAAATTCATTCTTACAAATGCAAGTGAATGAGGTAAGTGAAAGAGTAGAAGAGAAGAGAAAGAAAATAAATGAGAAATAGAAGATAAAAAAAAAGAACAATGGAAAGCATGTGTGAGCATTTATAACGTAAGCATCAATAATGACTGCATATCAATTGCTACTCAGCAGCAGACAAAATAACAAGATATACTATTGCCAACTACTATATTTCCATGTATTTCATACATAGTGATGATCAGTATTATAATACTTGTCAGTGGAAAATAACTACAGCAGGCCACAACTAACATATTTTGTTTCCTATGTCTCCAATACCTACTGTATGTCTCAGAGACATTTTGGCCATATGCTACCTAACAGACTCAAACTCAAATCTGAAATTCAACTTTTGTCTCCCCATTTACTTACTTTTAATGTATTTACTTTTCATTTTAACAGGTACAATATTAATAGTTCTTATTATTCTACTAATATATGCATATTAATAATTTTAAATAATCTTATGATAATCTAACAGAATAGATCTCAACATCTTTTTCATCAATATTACTTATATAACTTGCAACCCAGGACTGCTGGCACCTAACCACTCGTCTGCCTACCTGCCTGATCATCCCTAACTGCCTCTGCCTGCCAACCTGATCACCTCCTACTGCCCTGCCCTGCTGGCCTCATAGCCCCCTATCTGCACTCCCCTGCTGTCCTGATCACCTCTAACTGCCTCTGCTTCAGCCCCGCCACCATGGCTTTGTCTGAATGACGTCCAGAAGATGTACAGTCTAATTAGCATATTACCCTTTTATTAGTATAGATAATCAAAGGCAAATAAAGTTTATAAAACATTTTAACTAGTATCAGCTCACATGGTGCCCTGATATTTGTATTTCTACAAATAAGACATGAGATTCATTAGCCAAAGCTCCCCTATATAGAGTAGTACATATCTGCTTTAAATAATAGTCTACCTAATAATAATGCATCATGCTGAGCTAAATTCACTGACAGGCTGATTTTTGTATCAATGAATTAAATAGGTACTTAAAAAAATAAATTAATATTTAAAAGCTTCCTTTAAATACATAAATAGAGTATCTAACTCTGCTCGTTGGCCTGCCAGGACTGGTAATGATACACTTATTATACCCTCCTCAACTAAAGAACTTTCTCTAGATTAAGGAGACAGGAATTCATTATGACAAAGGACAGCCCTTCAGAGTCAACATAGTTGGGGGCCAGTGTAGGGGAAAAGAGAAGCAATGTTATAAAATAATACCTTCTGTTATGGAATAATATTTGGATGCTATGCCCAGAAAAACACTGTCAGTAGAGCTACAAAACTATCTTGAAAGAAAACGTCTAGATGCAGTATCAGTTTCATATCGCATTTAAGAATAATTTTTCATTATTTTAAAATTAAATGAAGGTCTCTCATATTTATGATATCTTATCTAATAAAGAGGAAATATGCTAATTAACCATCACTCCATCACAAAGATGGCTGCACCCACAGCTGAGACCAAGTTCTCATAAGGAGCCTTAAGGAGCAATCAACAGGGACCTGAGGCTACACCCTCCCCCACCTGGCAGGGCTTAATAAGGGACCTTAGGCCACGCCCCCTGCCCAGAGGGACTTGATGGGGGACCTCAACGTGTGCTTCCAGTCCTGGTGCTGTGCTAGGGGATTTCAGGCTGTGCCCCCCACTCAGAGAGGCTTGACAGGGACCTCAAAGTACACTCCCAGTGCTGGGTCAGGGGAACCAGGTGGGGCTTGTCAGGGGACTTCAGGCCGCGCCCGCATCTCAACACTAGGCCAGGGGACAGCAGACTGCACCCCCTGCCCGGTGGGGCTTGACAGGGGAATCTCAGGCCCTGTCCCCCACCTGGTGGGGCTTGACGGAGGACCTCAAGGCACAGCCCCCATCCCGGTCAGGCCATGCCCCGTCCTGGTGCCAGGCCAGGGGACCTGAGGCTATACCCTCTAACTGGCAGGGCTTGACAAGGTTGGGACTGGTCGGGTCTGGATCTAGCACAATGAGGGTGGTAGGGGCGGCTGGATCTGGATCTTACACAATTTGGAGGTGCATGTGCGTGGGCAGGGACTTTACACTGGGTCCCATGGTGAGCCCCAGACTCTGACAAGAGGAAGGTTTTAATATACATTTTACTAATTTTCTTTCATCTCTCACACAATATTAAAGGGCACAATATTAAATTATTTCCTCTAATAATTCCCCTTTTAATGTGCATGAATTTTGGAGTTATTTATGCAAAGCAATATGAAATTTGAAGGGATTGTTATACCTACAAGAAATTATAATACAGGGGAGGTTGTCTCCTGAAAAAAATTCTATGCTGTTGAGGATTCCAAAATATAAATGAAATACTGCAAATATCGATATGTCTTTCATATAAGGAATGTATCTTATATGATAAAAGGCTAATAATCAACCAAACGGCAAAGTGACCAGTCATTATGATGTACACTGATTGCCAGGGGGCAGATGCTCATGCAGGAGCTTCTCCTTGTTGGTCAGTGAGCTCCCACAAGGGGAGCCCCGCTCAACCAGAAGCCAGGCTCACAGTTGGTAAGTGCAGCAGCGGTGGTGGGAACCTCTCCCACGTCCACAGCAGTGCTAAGGGAGTGGGCCTAAGCCGGCAATCAGACATTTTCCCGAGGGCTCCTAGACTGTGAGAAGGCACAAGCTAGCCTGCATGGCCCCCACGTGCTCAAATTTTGTGCACCAGGCCTCTAGTTTATAAATAAACAAATAACTTAGTCTTTTGGAGATGTTGATTTGCTGGGGAGAATAACGGATGCATAGTTTCTATTACCATCAGGATATAAAATTTAAGTATTAAAACCGTTTCTAAATAATTTACCTTAGCAATTGGGTTCTATCTGGAGGCAAATCATTTTAGAAGTATTAACTGCCTAATAAACTGATTTGTCATGCTGTCTGTTTTCTTTAAATATTAAGGAAATTTATTAAGAGGAAGCCCCCTTGCTTAGTCAAACATATTCATAAATAATGAAACTGGAAACCGGATGTGTAAAAGAATCATTTGAATGATTAAAATTTCATCTTAAAATAACAATGCTAAGAAAATTTATAATATAACAGAATAGTATTTGGTGAACCATAGGTTGTAAAATGTCAGCTCATTAGGCTTGCTTTTTTTTACTCTATATCTCTTAAATAAGATGACATCTCTAGGGAAACAGGACCCAAGCAGGAGGGGATAATCAGTAACTTTCCCATTCAATATCTAAATACAATTCATATTCCATCATGATTTTTCTCAAATGTATGAGCAAACTGGCCAAAGATATTATTTTATAAATTATCCAGTAGTACAAGATATACACACATTTCCTTATGAGGATCTCACTGACTCAACAATTTTAGACCTGATAGACTTCGCTCAGTAAAAAATAAAATAAAATGATGTTATTTTTTTTTAAGTATACTATTATGAGTTAAATTATCTAGACTCATCTAAACTGAAATTTTGAGATTTTGCTTTTAAAACAGAGGGATTTCCCTGGCCAGTTGCTTAGTTTTTAGAGTGCTGGCCCATACAGCAAAGGGTTGCAGATCTGATTCCCAGTCAAGGATATACCTTGGTTGCAGGTTCAGTCTCTGGCAGGAGGCAACCAATCCATGTGTCTCTTTTACTCTCACTCTAACTCTCATTCTCACTCTTTCTTCTTCTCCTTCCTCTCTCCCATCCTCCCACTCTCTCTAAATAGTAATGGAAAAATATCCTCTGAAGAGGATAAATAAATAAAACAACTGAGGTATATAATGATAAGATAGTAAATCTTTAACTTGTAAACATTAGCTACCCTAAACATTAAAACAAAACAAACAAACAAACAAAAAATCACCCTGAAATAAAGTTTATTAAATCTAGAAAACTGGCCGAAAATTGCATTATTCTCATAAATTCTATAGAGAAATATTAAAATGTCCATATATGCACTTTTTAAATAATCTTTCCTTTCCTGCTCCAGTTTTTAGACCATCTCTCTCACTAAAACAACACCATGCCCCAGACCCATTGTCAGAAGTATAGCTGTCATCCCAAAGACAGTTTTTCTCAGCAGGAGCCCAGGTGATTCCAGAGAATATACAGCAGCACTCACAGCTGGGCAGTAGCAAGGTCATAGGATTTTCTCCCTCTGGCTTTGCATGCACCTGCAGCGCAGCAGCTGGAGCACTGGCTAATTTTGTCATTTGCTTTGCTAACATCTATTTTCACAGTAATTAGCACATGTGGTTTAAAGATTTTTTTTCATATTTTGGGGTCCAATATTGTTTTTTA